GAAAATGATTTAACAGGTCGCGTCTATGGCGAAGTGACAAGCATCTAAACCGGAGGCGAGGAGCAGAACCGTGTTGCCGGAGGCATGCCTGGAGCGAAGCGGAATACTCCAGCCATGTTACTAAATGCTCGTCTTGTACTTTGGTGGAATCGATTTAGCATGACATCTTATAACTTGTCTAATTTAACATCGCCCGTTCGTTATGCCCCTACAGGCGCGTCCCCACATGCGCTGACCAAAGGCGGCCCCGTCGACCCAGGCGTCCACATGTCACAAAATGAAAAACAAAACCAACGAGTTTGGCTTCTGGCCATTCGAAAACCCGAAAACGCATAAAACAGTTGCGAAACGGCCAAGGACGTCCCCAAGACGGCGCAAAGAGGGCCCCAAGAGGACCCTCAAGACAACCGCCAACCTGTCTAGCACGATAGACCTTGTATAGTCACGCATTCCGGAAGCCCCTAAGAGGCCACCACAAAACCCTGCAACCCCTAGCCTTTCTACGCGCTTGGGACGCGCACAACGAAAGTAATCCACATCTGGAAGCGGAGCAAGGCCGTGCTGGGCGACAACGTTTTTGGGTCTGCGTGACTGGCAATGTGATCCTCTTACCGTTTACTCGATAATCATCCGTCATTGCCGACTCCCTGGGGCTGCCTCGGCGTCAGAGAGAAGTGCCGCTCCCCAGACCTCTTCTTGGGAAGCCTGGTCCGGCCGCTTTGGAAGGGGAGGGGGTCCAGCTGCGTCCCCAGGGCCCCTGGGGAGTCATCTCGTCCAGGGCAGCCCCTTTGCGCACCAACGAGAACCCAACAGTTTTGGAATGCGTCCAGCATTAGGTCGGGCATGATCCCCTACAGGCGATTTTGGACGAAGATTAAACATACAAAACACAGTCAAACAATAATAACAAATCCACCGATCCAGCGTGTGAGTTTAAGAAGTCTAAGCTGAATCTATGCTTCAGCATGAGCTTTAGCTCTGCTTGGGAGGGGGGAGGGGGGGGACGTAATAACCTGACGAATAAATTGCTCGGCACCCACCTCCCCCCCCCCCTGCCAGCCCCAGGAAAGAGGGGAGGGGGGGGACAGGAGAGAGGGGGAGGGGGAGGGTGGGGAGAGGAGAGAGGGGGGGGGTAGGAGAGAGAGGGGAAGGGGGGGAAGGAGAGAGAGAGAGGGGGGGACAGGAGAGAGGGGGGAGGGGACAGGAGAGAAGGGGGGGGGGACAGGAGAGAGGGGGGTGGGGGAGGGGGGGGGTGGACAGGAGAGAGGGGGGGGCAGGAGTGAGGGGGGGGAGGGAGGGAAAGGAGAGGGGGAGAGGATGGGGGGACAGGGGAGAGGGGGGGACAGGAGAGAGGGGGGGAACAGGAGAGAGGGGGGGGACAGGAGAGAGGGGGGGGGGGGGTCAGGAGCGACGGGGGGAGGAGGGGGAAAGGAGACAGGGGGGTGTGGGGAACAGGAGAGAGGTGGGAGGGGGGACAGGAGCGAGGAGGGGGGGGGACAGGAGAGGAGGGGAGGGGGGGGGGCAGGAGAGAGAGGGGGGGGGGGGGAGAGGGGGGGGGGGGGGGGACAGGAGAGAGGGGGGAGGGGGCAGGAGAGAGGAGGGCGGGGAGGGAAAGGAGAGAGGGGGAGGGGGGGGATAGGAGAGAGGGGGGCGGGGACAGGAGAGAGGGGGGGGGGACAGGAGAGGGGGGGGTGGACAGGAGAGAGGGGGGGGGGACAGGAGGGGGGAAAGGAGAGAGGGGGGGGGAGTAGGAAAGGGGGGGGCAAAAGCCAAGAGGGGGAGTGGGGGGGGGCAGGGATCATCACCATCTCCATCACCATCACCATCACCATCGTCACATCACCATCATCATCATCACCACCACCATCACCATCACCATCACCATCACCATCATCATCATCATCATCAGCAGCATCAGCATCATCAGTATCATCATCATCACCACCAGCATCATCACCATCACCATCACCATCACCATCACCATCACCATCACCATCACCATCACCATCATCATCATCATCATCATCACCATCACCATCACCATCACCATCACCATCACCATCATCATCATCATCATCATCATCATCATCATCATCATCATCAACATCAACATCATCATCATCACCATCATCATCAGATCAGCATCATCATCATAAGCATCATCATCAACCTCATCCTCATCCTCATCCTCATCCTCATCCTCATCCTCATCCTCATCCTCATCATCATCATCTCATCATCCGGAGCGCCCCGGATCGGCGGCGCTGGCCGGAGGCCACTACAATACTGAAATATCGCCCCTGGACTATATTTTGACTATTTTTGAATACTTCTCCTGTAAGGGAGCACGCCCGATTTAAGTCCAGCATGCGATGCTATGGTCCCTGGGGCACGTCCCGGAAACCTCATGCCCCCCCCCGTGGGTTTCTCGGGAGCCCCCGCGGCCCCAAACCTTCAAACTGCAGGGATCCAATCGGTTTGTCGGGGAGACGTCAGACTCGGGTACGGGGGGACTCGGGCTGGCCTGACGGGGCCATCGTGGAATTGACGCGAGCTCCCGCTGCAGACATCCCACGCAAAGTGGACCGTCGAAATCTAGGACGCGCTCGTCAAAAAACATCGGCAAACCAGAGTCCCAGCATATTCGAGTCTCACGTTTCCCCGAGGTTGGCATACTCTTCGCAACTTCGCCTTTCGGTCCGGGCAACCTCCGAAGCGACACAACAAGAGCCCCGAACATCGCCCCAAGGTGGCCCAGGAGCGACGAAGCGAGGGGCACGAGAATCCCCGAAGGTGGCCCAACGAGGGGCTCAAGACGGGGGAAGCCGAATAGGCCTTTCGAGCCCTCCACCCCAGGATGAGTCCAAGGTCCCCTGGGAGTTCCCGGAGACGCTCCCAAGAAACTCTCAGGTGTCCCAAAGCGGCTCCCGACCATCTCTCTCTCTCTCTCTCGCTCTCTTCTCCCCCCAAGAACAACAATGCCAATATGCTTCCAATCTGCCTTTGGCGCTTCTCCCAAGATGCCTCATCGTGGCGGGTTTGGCCGGCTGCGCAGAAGGTTCCCGCCCTGGCATTGTTTATACAGCTTGCGCCTCCAGACCCGCCCGCCGCCACCCTCGCCGTCTTCCTCCATCCTCTGCGTGCACTTCCTCCAGCTTCTCCTTCCTTCCTTTACCTCCTGCCCCTGCTCGTCGCAACACCTTCGATATATATATATATATTAATATATATATATATATATATATATATATATTCTCAGCTCTCGGGACAAGCTACGAGGTTTACCACCCAGCATGTTGCTGGAGACTCGCCCCAGTAGCCAAGTTTGGAGACGCACGATATCGAATGAACTGGCGTGCAGACTCACATGAAGTTCCTGCGGCGTCGCTCTCAGCGCGTCTTCTCCTTCGACGACTCACCCCCGAATCGAAGCTTTCAAGACCCAGAAGGGGTCGGCTGTGCGGTGTATGTCAATGGCTAACAATCTTACGATGTATACGTAATTACCAATCATGTATTGCCCGTCCGGCGCTGCGCCATGTCCGTCGTTAACCAAAATGGCGGCCGATCCATAGGGCTCAGAATCCGAACAAACACTGAACCATATCAGCAAGCCTTAAATGGGCTCTGTGACGGCCCGAGAGGCCTCCAAGACAACCCAAGATGGCTTTAAGACGGCCCAAGGGGCATCCTCAATGCCCCAACAGGGTTCCAAGAGGGCTTTCTGGGCCAGACGTGTGGACTTCCTGCCATTTTGTTGACTAATGTTTGGCTTCTCGCATTTTCGGCCTGTGGCCAGCCCGAGACACCCCGAGAAACGCCCGAGATTACCGAAAGATGACCCGGAAGGCGGGGCCCCATAGGCCTCAAAGATGGAAAACATACGCTGGATGCGCTCAGTACGTGGCGATGAGAACGGATGCCCCCAACCCCCTAATTCATGTTGGGCGATTTTCTTGCCGATGTTCCACATGTCGGGCGTTTTTTTATCTTGCCGACGTACATGGGAGCTCCAATCATATTGTCCGCAAAACCGACTCTCCTGGGAGCTCATCGCTGCTCCGAGGGTTGCGATTCCAGACTGGGGTGGGCCCCATCCCTCGACGCATTGCAACCCGTGTTCCGACGAAACACGACATACACATACAATTTCGGAGGCCGCACGGATTCGGAGGCCGCACGGATTTCTCGCAACGGCGTTGGACCCCCCTCCCTGGTGCGCGAACCGCGCCAGGGGCGGCGCTGGAGTTGTCCGTGGGGGGCCTGGCGCGGATCCGAGAAAACCGCGCGAGCCTAAGAAAGCTTATGGTGGTGCACTTTTGCTCCTCGATCTGCCACCCCCGGGCAGCGGATGAGCTCGAGAAGCACCGAGGATGATGATGATGATGCCGACGATGATGATGATGATGATGATGATGATGATGATGATGATGATGATGATGATGATGATGACGGTGGTGATGATTCTGCTGCTGCTGATGATGATGCTGAGTTGTTGTTTGTTTCCTCTCCCCTCCCCCGCGCTCCAATTCCTCCGACCTGTCGGGTTCGGCGCGGCGACGCTGCTCGGAAACGCTTCAATACTGCTCGTGGGGGCTAGCCTCGGCAACGCTCTTCCACTGCCAGTGCGGAACATCGGCCCAGGCATCCGGCTCGGCAGGGACAGGCGAGCACTCATCAACGTCCACGCGCCGCCTGCGGAGCGGGGAATTACAGCTCCTATGGTGCACCACTGGGACCCGAGTGTGTGGAAGCCAGTAGTGTCCGTCTGATCGCTGACAGAAAGGTCCTCAGGCGGACGGGGCCGCTGGCGAATGCCAGGCGCCGAATTACCCTCAGAAGTATGAACTACACCATGGACGGGAATAAAAGCACCAGCGGCCATGTTGTCGCTGGGATGTGACCACGTAACCCAGCAATAAGCATCGTAGACCTTGCAAACTTCTCTCCTTGGGCCTGCATGTCCGCGGCAAACCCCTCAGACCAACTGCGCATATCGTTCAATTCGGGACGACGAGCACGTCCTTCAGGAGGCCGTTCAGCACCAGGGAGCTCGGCAGGACCTCCAAGGTCCGCAGCAGGTATGGGAAAATCGCCAGAACGCTTATGATCACGATGTCCAGGAAGATCCGCCTCAGCAGGATGAGGACATCAATCACGATGTCCAGGGAGATCCGCTTCACGAGGGCAATGCCCAGGAGGACCCGCACCGGCAGGAAGCGTGCCCGTATCCCGATGTGCAGGAAGATCGCCAGCTCTATCCCGATCCCGATGTCCAGGAATATCTGCTTCACGATCACGATGTCCAAGAAGAGCCGCTCCGTCGTCAACAGGGGAGCAGTAATGAAACTCACGAAGAAGCGTATCAACGTTGCCGGCAGGATAGTATGGAGCAGCCGCCTTGTTGCAGGGGGAAGGTGGGATCCCAGGAAGAAAACGAAGAGCATAATCAGTACGATCATTAACACATTCATCGCCACAGTACTCCAGGCACGAAGGAGGTGTACAGGGAGGCCCAGCTAAGCGGCCAAGTGGACGATGAGGGTCTTCACAGTGAGGTAGACGAGGCCCAGGTAGCAGTAAGGGGACCATCAGGACGCGCACCAACTCGTGCACGGCCACGGCCACCACGCCGAAGGGCTTTGGGACCCCGCTGCAGCCCACCAGGCCACGGGTCAGAGCCTCCAGGCGCGTGCCAGGGGTCGGTACGACCACGAGCAAGGGGAGACGGTGGGCGCCCACGTCGGCGGAGTCCACGTCCACCGTGAACGTCATCGTCACCACGATCATGAGGCGAGCCTCCACTACCCCCGCCAGGATCCACAGCTGGACGTTCGCGGTCTGCACGCTGCGCGAACCATATGTTAATCTCGCTCTGCCCAGTGCCGAGATGGCGATGCCCTCGGTCAACGACCTCGTGCTCCCCAGCGAAGGTGAGCAGGAAGGCCAGCTACGCGCTCAGCAAATCCCGAACCAATGGTGTAGTCCGAGGCGCGCCGTGCTGCACCGCAATCTTGGCCTTGCCCTTGTGAGGGTCCACCGCGGGCGAGAACGTGAGCAGCGCAGGCATCCCGCCAGCTATGCAGCGCTGCACCCATTCCAGGCGTCCCAGAAAGACCATGGCAGCGCGGCGAAAAGGGCAGGCAGAAGAAAAGTCCTCAGCAGGTGCCGAGGGAAGCCATTCGGGGACCCAGCAGGTGTTTGAACCAAAATGGCATGATGATGCTGCTGATGATGATGATGCTGATGCTGATGATGATGATGCTGATGATGATGATGCTGCTGATGATGATGATTTTCCTCGACGTTAGGACCAACATCTGATGTAAAGACATTGCGCACAATGAAATCAGACTTAAATGATCCGTCGCAGAGAGCCAGGTGTCTCGTATTGCCCCGCATGGGCCGTGCTGCCAGGGTGCTACGCAGAGGGGCCTCCTGCGCAGCGCATGCCGAGCAACGTGAATGTGCTAGCTGAAAGGATGTGCCGCCGCTTCGTCTTCGGCGTTTGTATCGAGCTCGAACTCAGGTGGGGCCTCCGCCTCGAATAGCTCCTGTGCTGGCACGACAGTAGGATGGGTTGGAGGCACGGCGGAGGAGGGAGGGTACTCAACCGTGACTGTGCCGCTGCATGCGGGGAGGTCTTCGCCTCGAACAAAAATGACACGGCGCTGGATTGCCTCCTCTCCCCTGCTGCCTGCATCATGCCATGCAGGTTCATTCTGGCGAAAGGCTGGGCTCGCTGCTCGAGGGTCTCCAGCCAGTGGCCTACTTCTTCCTCGAGCCATCCCGCCGGGGCCACGCCTCTGCGATGCACCGCTTGGCCCTCGGCCTCGAGGGCACGGCTGATCAAGACTCGGCCCTCCCATGTGGGCGCGCCGATCACCAGCTTCGCCTTGGTGTCGTCGTAGCACTTCTCCAGGCGTGCGAAGGGGATGGCGTCGAGGAGATCCTCCTTGCTGATCTCGGCCTCCGCCTCGATGTCCTCGGGCTCCGCTCGGAGCAGGTAGTTGCGGATGGCCCCCTTCATGGACCCGCCCACGTCGCACTTGTGCAGTCCTTCCAGGGCCGCGAGCGCGAGGGGCGGGGCTGGGGACCCGATCTCCTGCAAGGGTTTCTTGTCATCTGGGGTGCCGCTCTTCCTGGGGGAGTCCAGGGTGTGCTTGTAGCCCTCGAGCTCCTGCGTGGCGGCTATGATCACTGGCTGCTCGTTGCTCATCGTGTAGGTGTCCGTACTGATGCTGCTGTTCAGCCTGGTTTTGTGTGTCGTCTGGAGCAGCAGCTTCAAGGCCGACCGTAGCAAGTCCATCAAATTCTTGTCCTTGCTGGTCCAAGCCTTGGGGTTGTGATTGTCTCGGCGCCCGCGGCGTCCTCCGCGGCGAGCTGGGCGTCGGCTGGGCTGGTCGGTCTTCTTGTCCTTCTCGCCGTTGTCTACCTCGTCCGCCTCGATGGGCGTGGCTGCTGGCGCGGCTGCTCCCCCTTCCTCGGCTGGTGTTCGCGGTGGTCGAGATCGCCTCTGCGTTGGCGGCGGCGGGCCTGGCTGGCGTGGGGCCTTTGTCCCCTTCTGGCCTGCAGCGGCACTGGGGGCGGCGCCAGAGACCTTCGAGCCCTGGGGGGAGTCCAGCGGGAGTCGACACGACGCTCTCTGCTTGGGCGTCATCCCCTGGTCCAGGAGGTAGCACAGGAAGAGTAGGAGTAGAGGAAACAATAGCCACTCGAGGTGTCCCTTGCGATGTTGCATGTACCTCTGCTGCTGGACGCTGTGCTGCTCGTAGCCGTCGTAGTGGTCGGTGCCTCGCTCTGCTGCGTGGGTCGCCGCCTACGATGTGCCCCACCGGCTGACGAATGGCGGCGCGCGCAGCGGGGGTATCCTCGACGGCGGGCGGGGGGCGGCAGCGGATGGCGCGGGACGTAGCGGGTGGGCGCTCGGGGTGGCCGTGCGCGTGGTAAGCCTTCTGACGACAGGCTTGAGCATGGAACCCGATGGCGACGGTGGTACATGTCCTAGGACGTGAACTCGGAGCTTTGGCTGATCATGAAATTCGTGTTGGCATGCATGGTCCAACGCGTAGTCTCGTAAAGGACATGTAGTACATGTTGCTGGGACCCAGGGATATGCATGATGCGTAAGTTCTGGGGTGCATCTGCCTGCTTGCCATGCCCGTCGTAAATGTCTAGCTGCGTGATCTTGATTTGGGAATGTAGTTTGGCACGCAATACATGTGTTGTCGATCTGTAACGTGGCCAATACCGCTGGCATGCCGTGTCCTAGGCTCTTAGATTTGGTTTGATGTGTGGCGAGCTGTTTGAACGTCCCGAACCGTTTCTGGCACGACTCGATGTTGCACACGAAGGGGCGGTTCGTCTCGTCATCGGTGTCCGTCTCGTCGTATGCTGACGCCGATGGGGAGAGAGGAGGTAGTCGCGCTGGGCCTCGGGGGGGGGGGGGGGGCACTGAATCGTCCAATGGGAAGCCCTGAGAGCCCGAACGTCGCAATTTAGGAAGGCCTCTCGAACCCACTCGTCACCCCACAAGTTTTTAACAACTCGAGGTTGCCACGCTTCATGAAAGCTCTCGCTGATCGCGTGGGGCGACAGGCACAGCAAATCGTCTGCGAGCTGTGTGGCCCACGGGTGCACGTTCGGGTCTGCGGGGATCTCGCCCTGCGAATTGAGGGTGCCAGCGCTGACGGGGCGGTTGCTTATGGCCGCCTGCTGCTCGAACTTGCATCTTCCAAAAAAAGAAGCGAGAAAGTGGCCATGATGTGTGTGTGCGGTCGAATTATGCTCTGCCACCAACTGAGCCTGCGCACGAGTAGCTCAATGGCAGTCGGTGCAACTTGCCATTCAAGAAACACTGGGCGGGTAGACAAGGGTCGATGATTGTTGTGCTCATCCTCCTGATGTGCCGCTCCTCTCATCATTGATCGTAGTTTACGGGCCAGCGTACTGTCGAGTCTGTGGAGCTCTCTGGGGGGCAGCACCTAGCGTTCGAGGCCCGACCAAACCCCCCCAGCGACATTGGACACGAACGCGAGCCGTTTAGCCTTCCAAGGCCCCCCAGAAAACCAGTAGTCGCCCAGGCGGCACCACCCAGTCTTTCCTGATTGTATGCGGGCCTCGACTTCACGACGATTATGGTTATTGACATGTACATATCCTCCGAAATTAATCAAGTCCTGGACAGCGTTCCCAGAAATGTTCCGTTCGGCCTCCTTCGTAGCCCCATGGGTGCCCAGTGAAACCAGGGTGTCTTGCTTACTGATGTTCTGTGCGTAGCCGCCAGCCTCGAGGGCCTGGGAGAGCGTGTCGTTGTCGATCTTATCAATCTGCGGCGACTAGAGGGACGTGCCATCTGGCACCAAGAGGATCTTGACTAGATCGTCAATGAAAGCTCCAAGATGCGCGTCGTGCTCTTCTCCAGTGAAAGGACAATGTACCTGAAACGGGTTTCCCTGGACCTGGGCCATCTCCTGGGACCACTGCATAACTAATGGATAAAATGGCCCCATGAAAAGTTCAGGCTGGGTTGAGTCGCCCATCCTCCCTCCTGCCCCTGGTCGAAGAGCTATACTGGCATCAGACGCCTGCAGAAATACGACAGCCTCATGTCGATGCTGCTCAAGGAGGGGA